GCTAAAGTTATAAACTGTCTTGGATATATTGTAATTCAACATAAATAGTCCTTTTGAAAAATTAAATTAAAATCACGGATTCGCAATGAATAAAATAACTAAAACTAATATAATGACTTTCATTTTCATTTGTTAAATTCTTTAAATGATTTGTTTCCAACTTTTTCATCGGCCTCCGCTTCTCTCTCTCTCTCTCTCTCTCTCTCTCTCCTCTGTCTCTCTTTCTTACTCTGTCATGCTCTCCCCCTCTCCCTCGCTGTTTCTCTTTCTCTCTTCTCCATCTCTCTTTCTCCCTGTCCCTCTCTCACCTCTTCCTCTTTATTTCTCTCTCTTCCAATTATTTCCCCTCTCTTTCCCCCCTCCTCCCCTGCCACTCACTTTCCCTCCCTCTCTCTTTCTCTCTGTCTCTTTCTCAAAAATGACACTTCAAATTTATTATGATAAATGTCTGTGTGTCCACTTGTGGATAAAACTAAAATAAACCACTTTTTTAATAGTGCTACTCCAAAAAGAAATTTCTAAAACAACACATTTTAAAATAACTATAGTTCTTCTTTAATAAGTCAGTTACATGTTCACAATATATTTTAATAATAACTTTTGAGCCATATGCTATTGGCTCTCAGCAAAACTGGCAACAATGCCCGTGGGTGCAGTGATCAAGCATTTTGACATGGTATATCACATGTTCGCGGATGACACCCAACTTCGGCAATCTGTGATCCCCTCTCAGTTCCCTCAGCTTCCTAGTATGACACAGAAGACAGTGGAGTCAGTTAAGCACTGGATGACTATAAACAAGCTTAAACTGAATGATGAAAACACCGAGCTGATCCCTATTGCTACCGCTCAAAAGCTAAAATATATAAATAACACACAAACCCTTACTCTCTCAGGTATACATATTGAGTTTGCTAAAACAGTGCGAAACCTGGGTGTCTATTTAGACAGAACACTAACTGTGGAAAATCACATTAACATGCTTTGCAAGGCAATTTTTCTAGAGCTGCGCAGAATTAGTCACATCAGACCTTTCTTAACGTTAGATGAATCAAGATAAATCTAGATAATATTCAAAAAGCACAGAAAATGCGGCTCGCATTTTTCTTCGCAAACGCAAGTTTGACCATGCTAAAACACTTCTGAGAGCGTTGCAATGGCTGCAGGTCCGCGCTCGCATAGAGTACAAAATTTCAACTCTGTGCTACTGCTGCTTGCATGACCTGGCGCCGTCCTATCTCAAAGAGCTGCCGACGCCTTATGTACCCACTAGACAACTCCGCTCATCTGATAGTGGCAAACTCTCGATACCACGTGTTCGCCTTGGAACTTACGAGGGGCGCACTTTCGCATTTGCTGGCCCAACAATTTTGAACACCCTTCCTGTCGCTCTCAGAAACAGCCAGTCACTGGAGTCTTTCAAAACTGATTTGAAGACATATTATCTATTTCGCAAACACCTGTTGGGAGGATGTTGTCTATCTAGCTATTATCTTGTGGATGTGTATTTGGCTGTGTTGTTTATGGGTTGTTAGGTATGAAAGACTTAGAATGGGTAGTCTCGTATATAGTTTTTGCAATGTTGCATTTTGTATTTCAATGTGGTATGTTATAGATTATTTCATTTCTCTTTTTAAAAAAACTAGACTATGTACCGCGCTTCGAGCCTTTGGTGATGAAGCGTGATTTTCAAATAAACTTTATTATTATTATTTTTATTATTATACATAAACCACTGAATATTGATGATCCTGTGCTACTAACTATTCCTCACGAAACTGCTGGCACGCTGTTAAACCACTGCGTGCAGTAACAAGAAGAATAAGAACCCTAACAACTAGACACTGAAACTCACGAGAACGGACTTCTTCTCATAATATACACCATTTATATTATCACCCATTTTGGTTATTTTATTCCAATTTCGAAATTTGAAAGTAGGAACAGGATTCAAACAAGGATGTCTCTTGTCCACTTTTCTATTCATCTACGCCTTTGGGCAATAAGGGGAGAGACTGCGATCAGGTTAGCACATTTGGAATTATATTTTTGGTAGCCATGCCACGACCACGTCACGCCGAAGAAGCGTCATAAGGAGACTCGCCATAACGGACTCGTCATAGCAGGTCTCGTCATAGAGGATACGTCATAGAGGGGCTCATCGTAAAGGGAATGTGCTGTGCCTCCATAATTGAATGTAATCGAAACTTTATTTATATTTTATATGAGAAAAAAAAGAGGCTTTTAAAATAATAAATATATCAGGCATAAGCCCCCTCTCCCCACCTTTCCCCTTTTGTTAAGTGTTTTAGTTTTATTTGGAAGGCATTTGTCAAGGAGCCGTACTAAAAGTGGAAAATATCACTTTAAAAAAAATTATTGAAAAATCAACGTGTGGAAAAAATAAACAAAACCACAAATTTTTTTGACATATGTACAAGATCTAGATCAGTGGTTCTCAACCTTTTTAGTGCCGCGACCCTTTTTATACAGTTTCTCGTGTCGTGGCGACCCCCAACCAAACAATTATTTTCGATGCTACTTCATAGCTGTAAGGATATGTGTTTTCAGATGGTCTTAGGCGACCCCTGGGAAAGGGTCCCACGACACCCAAAGGGGTCGCGACCCACAGGTTGAGAACCGCTGATCTAGATTTTCTTGAAACTTTAACATACTTAAATCAAATGCGCATTTAAGTTATCAATTTGGAATATCTCACTGTCTACTATGATTTAACTTGTATATTAAATGGAGAATGGGCAATAAAATGGTTGCTGAAAATTGATGAAGAATTAGAATCCAGAAATTCTTCTTGTGCTTTTTGTTTTTCATAAGGAAAACTTGCTAGTTAAAATATTTTACCTGTTCTCGTGAAGTACTAAATTAAGTTATAAAGTCTATCGTTTTTAAAGCTAATGCCATATCTGAACGTCTCTTTAAAGTATTTGGTGAAAGATGAAATGCGGACCATGTCAGACTTTTACTTCACACTGAAATAGGGGTCTCTCGAAAGTGAACTGCTTGAAATATTTATGGAACTATTTGATACTCTTGGTGAGATTTTAAGTGAGAAACAGATGATGATAAGGCATTTATGAGTTACTTAGCCGATGTTTTTGATTAACTAAATATATTAAATAACCAATTTCGAGGAGCAAATAAAACTGTTGTCGATGCAAATGCGAAGACATTTGGTTTTATTACATTCATTGAATTATGTAAGAAATGTGTTTGTAACAAAAAGGTTGAAAATTTATACTGGCTCAAAAGTTTGAGGAGGCTGATACCGCTATACTTGTTATTGCCGATCACCTAAAAATTTTATCAGCTGATTTAGAAGAAATATTTTGTGATTTAAAACAAACTGATTCTCCAACTTGGATGATGCGGCCAATGTAAGTGGATTTGTCTGATATTTTAAATATACAGTATTTATTTATTTATTTAGACATTTTTTGTATAGCGCTTACCTTACAGCTCTAAGCGTTTTACAATTATTAAAACGAATTATTATCAAGAAGATCTCGTAGAAATGCAAAATGATCAGTCCGTCAAAACTTTATCTAATATAAAATGAGCGATGGCATTGCCTTATGAGGAAAAAAATGTCAAATATCCTGCGGCCTTGTTATAACTAATGTGCAAAACAGCTGTTGTTACCGTTTCCTTTTTCATATAGTTATATACAATACAGTATTGTTACCGTTTTTATCTTCATATTTAGCTGAATGTGGATATAGTGCCAACAGTTTTGCTGCTAAAAAAAAGGAAAAAAAAGCAAAAAGAAATCGGCTGGATGTAGAACAGCGTTGAGACCTGAGATTGAAGTATTCAAAATTGGAGCCTAACATAAAATCTATGTGAAGCAAAAATAAAATTATTCATCTCACACTGCATTGTCATCTCTCATTGTGCTTGTGATCTCACACTGTATTTGTGATCTCTCATTGTATTTTGAAATGATTAAATTGTAATGAATAATAAATGAAATAATAAATAATTAAAACATTATAGACATTCTTTTTTCATTTCGTACTTGAATTTCAGTTCTCCATTACATGTTTAAAAATGTATTTATTTTGTTTACTCCAATTTTACTTTTTCCTAAAACGTATCATTTAGTTTTCCTTTAGTGAACAATTCATTTTGAATAATGTGTATATTACATGGGCGCCCGCAGAAAACTTTCTTGGGGGGGGGGGGGGGGGGGGGGGCAAACAATTTTTAGTAGTGTTTTAATGTAGTTTTAATTTACATTTAATACATTTTTTTGGGTCTATTTTTGTCTAAAATTTTTTTATCCAATCAATACTGGGGGGGGGGGGTGCCCATGCATAGGGGCCATACGAATTTTAGAAAGGCTTAGGTGGGGCATGTCATAAAAAAGGTTGAGAAACACTGCTCTAGACTTTATTACAAAATGTGTTAGTCCTTTCATTGTCCGGCAAGGTAGGATTCCTGAAAAAAAGAACCCTTTAAATTTGTATATATTTAAAAAATTGACACATGTCAAAACGTATTAGAAATAATTATTTGAAGCGATTATCTACATTTTGCTATGGATAAAAAATTAGTTACTTTTAGCTTAAAACTGTTAATACTTTTGCTAATGGAGTTGTATGTTTCCAACTGAAAGATAACTAAAACGTTTCATAAAACAAATAATATTATTGTCTGGCACCATAATAATGAAAGTTTCAGTATCAAGTAAATTTCCTTGGAGCGTTGTCTAAAGACAAACGAAGATCCAAAATAAGATTGCGTCACAGCTCGTAATGCGCTCAACTGGATATATTGTAACAATTCTTTTAAAATGTAAGATTTATTTATCTCTTTGTTTGGAAACGAATAAATTAATTGCAATACAAAATTAAAAATACGACATTAATAATGATAGTAGTTACAAAAAATATAAATTTTAAATTATAAAGAAGATTGGCTCAAATGATTTTTAAGTCATCAGTTGAATCCGTGAAATCATGGAATTTAAAATTATGAAAATGTTTCCCATTTATTGTTTAGAAGACACGATTGATGCCAGAAAACAACGGCCTTATTGCATACACATCATGTCACCAAATGAGACAACATCAGAAGATTGCCTTTATCTAAATATTTTCCTCAAAGACATAAATCACCAAGTCGACAGTAAGAAGAAAGTACTCGTTTCCTTGTACGATGAAAGTGAGTTTAGCTACGATCCCGGAAGTTTCGTCACAGACCATGACATCATAGTTGTAATCCTACAGTATAGGACTGGCCCGTTTGGATATCTGGCTATCAACAATGGAGATGCCATTGGAAACTACGGTCTATGGGATCAAGTTCTTGCACTCAAGTGGGTCAAAACTAACATTGGTGCATTTGGTGGAGACCCAGATGACGTCACAGTTGCTTGGAATGAACTAGCGCCTTGTCTTACCCTGAGTCCAATGTCAAAGGGTTTGTTCACAAAGGTTTTTGCAACGGGAGGGATGACGTGGCATCCAGAAAAATCAAATAGACAATCGGACGAAAAAATCATTGACTTTGCCAAGTCAATGAAATGCTGGAAAGATGAAAATGCAACTGTGTTATTTCTGGATGATAAGATTGACATCATTCAATGCCTGCGTTCTTTGTCAACTTTAGAACCTTCCAAAACGGAACTTTTCAATAAAAGTTATGTGAAATCGTGGTTAACTTTTCTCCCGGTGATAGATGGTGAGTTCATACCTAAATCAATTCCAGCACTACTTAAAGATGATTCTCACTTGGAAAATATTGGCTTTTATGAAAGGAAATATTTCATAACTATAGAAAATAACATACACATTCACTGGGCTGCTCGCCTTTCTTCAATAAAGGAGGCTTTTAAAAATATAAGCAACGATGATGATGCCGAAAACCTAAAATTTTGGAATGATTATAGTTTAGATTGGGCAAAAGACGTCATCAGAAGTCGACTGAACATAGAGAGTGTGTCAGACGATCTTGCTTCAAGACTAATGTATTGGTATCAAACCAACTCTCACTTTGACCCTATTGTTCAGCTGCAGACAGATTACAGGCACACGATTCGAGCCTATGACATTCTAGACACGATAGCGCGAGGCAGACACACCAAGGTCTGGTTCCTTCACTTCAACCACTTCCCTGATTACCTAAAGGATGATGTTCATGGAATGATATATAATTTAGACTTGCTGTATCTGTTTGATATCGATATGGATGGTTTTCGCCAGTCCTACGAGCAATATGTGACAGGAGAGTTTGAAGAAGAAGATTATGAATTGAAGAAATCCTTCTCTGCTCTCATTGCAGGTTTTGTACTAAATGGGTAAGATTTTTAAAATTCGATTTCAAATAGAGAAAATTAGTTAAAAAGAAATGAGGTAATTGACCTAATTAATGACCTTTTAGGAAATTTTGAAATTAAGGTTAGTATTGCAAAAACTTAGCTATACTTTTTTACACACTCAATTTAAGCATTAAATTCAACAGAAATCCTGGCAATAAATGTCTATACTTTGGGTTTGTATTGCCCTAAAAAAGCATATTTTTTATGTCTCTTTTTTTTTCAATTATAAAATTCTTATTAGGAATCCTGAACAACCTCTTCTAAGACAAATTCCTACCGGTTGGCCGACCTACGACCTGCTAGGAAGGTATTACTTGGATTTTAAAAGCAGAACAACGGTCAAGAGAAACTGGAAAAAACAAATTAGAGAACTCTGGACTCAAGACCTACCAAACTGGGCTTATAAACAAATGGAGAACCATCACTCTGAGCTTTAAGATATTGTTGAAATAAATACAATTATTTTCGTTTCGCACATGTTCCAAAAACCTATCTATGATATTTTAACTTTTCTAAAGATCAAAACAAGTAATCATTTTAACGTAGACTCAGTTATTATTTCCTGACATAGGATGAGTTACAATATTGAAGACAATGAGAAATGTCAGTTTCTATTTAGATAGTATTCATGTTGAAAAACCGTTGACTGATACTATTTTCATGAACTAAGAATTGCATAAATCCCCAATTTTATATTATTTTTTTCTTAACGAAAAATATTTGTATAAATTATTTTAAAAATTAAGCTTTAATTGTGATAAGAGAAGATACAAATCAAAAAGTTATGGGAAATGCCTTCATCAGTAGAAATATATACATATGCTCATTAGCATGTGTGTCTTAAGGTTTATAAACATGCCTACAATTCTATGAACCTCATTATACTACATCAAGACAGGGGGGGGGGGTTGTACAATTTAAATAACCAAGCATAAAATGACCTTGCAGTTATGTACAATTTTGAATTTTGAGTCAACGTACAAAATAGTTTTATTAAATTATTTTCCATTTAATTTCCATTAGGTGTAATACTTACGTACACAATTTCTTTAAAATATATTAGTCTCTTTCCTGCTTTCACGTATTTATTTCATATTTTTTATTCCTATTTTTTTTATTTTAAATTAGCATTTGTATTAATTCTATTTATTGTTTAATTAAAGTTTGAATAAAAGTGTTCTACATCTTTTTCATCTGAATAGTGTTTTGTTGTTTGTTTGTTGCTTTTTTAAAAATTATTTATATAAATGAAAAAAGTATGATACGAATAAGACTACAATTTTTATTTATTTTCTGAAATAATTATGTCAATCTTACTGGAAGCTGACAGACAGGGGACTTAAAATTCCACGCCAATTTGGTTTCTGTCTTCCACCTGTTAGGTCATGTGCCACATTGGCATTATTTGTTGTGACCATTCCAGAAAGCAGACCGCTCAAACAACTAATGTACAAGTAACTTTCAACAGGGCGATCTCAGCTTGTGGGCAGAAAAAAATTAATGTTTGAATGTGTCTATTATGTCGCTAAAATCCATGATCGTTGATATGTACTCACATGTGAAAAAATTCTGTGGATCGCACAAGTAGTGAGGCAACTTACCTACTAATAATGATTTAAGAACATGATTAAGAACTTAAGCAACTAGCTCTTTTCTTTGTCTTACAAAAAAATAAAGTTAATGTCTTTACTTCTTAAGTTACATAATATAGACGTCTTTACCAGGTTGATTATTTGGTTTATACAATCGAGAAAAATAACGGCGTAAATAGCTTCAAATGGAAACATTAAGAAAACATCCATTTTACACGATAACCTAAGGATACTCTAATGGTGTAAACGTATGGTAGGAATATATAATGTCACAAAGAGACAGAGAGAGAGAGAGAGAGAGAGAGAGAGAGAGAGAGAGAGAGAGAGAGAGAGAGAGAGAGAGAGAGAGAGAGAGAGAAGTGTGTTAAGAAGGGACATAGAGTAAGTAAATCAACTCCATCCCTACTAAAAATGATTCTCACTTGAAATATATTGGTTTCTATGACAGGAAATATTTCATAACTATAGTAAATAACCGACACTATTTATTTTTGGGCTGAACATTTGTCAAAATTAAGAAGTTTTGTACAAACGTAAGGAACGTTAACGTTGACGAAAACCAGTCGTTTTGGTCTGATCATAGTTTAAAGTGGGCTAAAGACGTCATCGGAAGTCGATTGAATATAAAAAAAAAAAAAATAAATAAATTAGAGAACTCTGGGAGAAATATGCACCGAATCGGGCTTACCAACAAATAGAGAATCCTAAACTTCGAGTTTTAGATTATGATGGACGTAAACGACAGGGGTAAACTAAAACCACCATAGCTTTTATACATGTATAGATAAGTTATATCATGCTAATGAAGACTTAGCATTGGGACGTTCATGTTTTGTTTTAGAGCATAGTCACTTTGAAGCGTCGTAGCCGGTGGCGACGCCATCAAATTTGACATGGCGGGTCCCTTGCAGGTCTTAAAAAAAATTGGCGGGTCCCAAATAAATGTATTAAATAAATAAAATGTATTAATTAAATTGTATATATATTACATTTTATGACGTTATATTGACTTTTGTTGTCGATAAAAATTTAAACATATAAAGACATTTAAAATGGAAGTTCTCTTACATGTAACGTAGTTTACGCTTAATGAGCATATATACAATATTAGTAACTAATAAAAATTTAAAAGAATGAAATAGTGAAACGAGGTATGTGGAAGCTTGAAAAAAGGTAACAGGACAAAAAACAAGGACGTTTCGGCATAAAGCCTTCATCAGCCAACAAAAGAAATGAAAATACAACAAAGAAAAGAACACAGTAGAAAACTCAAGCAGTATTCATTCGTCTCTCCGGAAGTGGGAAAACAGGAAGCGAGAGAAAATAAATATAGACACCGTGAAAAATAAAGTCCACAATAATAATGGGCCAGAATATCAAGGGATACATCAACAAACAGCAATAAGAAAATAGATGAAATATAGGGAGACGGAGAAACATCAGTAGGATATTATTTGATTAATACCATATGGAGATATGGTGCCAAACAGCTGAATAAATTTATTTTCCATTTTAACCCTATCTGGTGTGTTACTGCATGAAATCAATGCCGTAAT